AGAACCTTTTAGTCCTATTGCTTCTATGCGTGCAGGCTCTGTACGTGCTGTACATGTTGTGTATGCGTGTGATCTGTACGCATGATAACTCTGCCGTCTCAACTGCGGCCCAAGCATCGCACGGCCACGAGCATATTCCCTGCATGCACAGCTCCTGGTCATGCCGTCAAGCAAGTTGGGGGAGGAGGCGCGTGTGCGGGGTTCGAGCAGAGGGTTCTCGTCACCGGTATCGATAGTACGGGAGTATCACGATATACGGAGTAGCAAGTATCGGTTTCTGATTGCACCGAGTTGCCACGACATGGGCCGTCAGCCTCTCTCTGCCCGTGTTGCTCCGTACATCGCACATGATTGTTACGAGTGGCGGATCTGTAGGCTCGCCTGGACCATCAGCACGACTAATCTGTAATCTGTACAGATTACATCGCTACCAGCAATACTATCATCACCACCACCCGTACATCATCAGTGCACGGCATCGTTGACCGTTGCGTCACCGTTCCGACCTCTCTAGCGATCTTGGACGGGGTAGTTTGGAGAAGCCGAGCCCGTCTCTTACAGACAATGCGTCAATCGACTGTGCTGTCAATCTATCTGCGCCCGCCAAGTGGAGCTGAAGGTGTCGGGACGAGGTCACAGGGCTCGCGCCCGTGCAAGTATCGATACATTGTGCAGAGATCTGTATACTCGTATGCACGGACATGCGAGTATCGTCGCTACTATCCGTACAAGGTATCATCATTGCTTTACGAGTACAGGTTACCTTGGCAGACTGCCCCTTGACCCGGAACTAGCCGACTCTTTCCACTTCACAACCTCTTCCTTCTCCCCCCCCGTCGACACACAACGCTGCCGTCGGTACGGATTAGTCATCTGCTGATCATCCATGGAGCTGCCCTCTGGAACCAAGAGGCAACCTGGTCGACGAGGTCGCCGAAGCTGTCTGCTACTTATAATACTCCGGAGAAGATCCCTTAGTCTGGGACGCGGGGACGTGAGGGGGGGGGGGGGGGGGGAGGTGTCGATACGTGTCGCATCACGTTAGGGTAGGATGGACACAGTGGCGCCAGCCAGGAAGCACGCATGGTATTTCCACCCAATAACCGTCGGGTAAACCGTGTGGACGACGACGGTGCCGAGATACATGCAGTCTGCTCGTCGAGGCGGCGCAGTCCTTGACTCAGGTGTGTACAGATTAGGCCTTATATGCTATTCCGCTGACGTAGACGCATCATGGGATGGCGGCGCAACCTTATCAATAGACAGGCAGATATAGAAACCACAGATAAGACTCTACTCAACCCCTCCTCCTAGAGCTGTTCATCATATCGAGAAAAAAAAGAGGGAGAAAAAGTGTCTCGACTTCCTCTTTCAAAAGCCCCATCGCACAGATTCCACACATATAAACCATGTCCATCAGACAATGGAAGGCGGCCGTCTCGCAGGCCGAGCCGTGCTGGTTCGACCTGGAGGCCGGCGTCGACAAGGCCATCTCTCTGATCGGAGAGGCGGCCAGTAACGGCGCCGCCCTGATCGCCTTCTCCGAGGTCTGGCTTCCAGGGTACCCGAATTTCATCTGGTCCGGCACGTACCAGGAGAACCACCCCCTGGTGCTCAAGTACATGCGCAACAGCATGACGGCGTACGGTCCGGAGATGCTGCGCATCCGCCAGGCCGTGGCGGACCACAAGATGCACGCGGTGCTGGGCTTCAGCGAGCGCGCCGGCGGCAGCCTGTACCTGGCGCAGGTCCTCATCGGGCCGGACGGCAACATCCTCCTGCACCGGCGCAAGCTCAAGCCCACGCACATGGAGCGCACCATCTTCGGCGACTCGACGGGCGACTCGCTCAACAACGTCGTCGACACCCCGCTGGGGAAGATCGGCATGCTCAACTGCTGGGAGCACCTGCAGCCCCTCCTCAAGTTCCACACCTACGCCCAGGGCGAGCAGGTGCACGTCGCGTCGTGGCCGTCGTTCGCCTACAAAGACGCCGGGCCCTATCCCCTCTCCGCCGCCGCCACCCTGTCCGCCACGGAGACGTACGCCCTCGAGGGCCAGTCGTTTGTCCTGCTGGCCAACCAGCCCATCTCCAGGGCCGGCCAGATCCTCAACACCGACGGTCAGGCGGCCAGCAAGGGCGATGCCACGACGGATGTGGGCGGCGGTATCGCCCGCGTGTACGGCCCGGACGCCCGCACCCTGACCACCCCCACCGACCCCAACTTTGATGGCCTCGTCTACTGTGACATTGACCTGGACAAGATCGACGAGGCCAAGACCCTCGCTGACCCTGTTGGCCACTACTCCCGCCCCGACCTCCTGCGCGTTCTCGTCGATGACCAGCCTAAGGCTGTTGTCGCAAGGGTCGATCCCTCCGCGTCCTCGGCAAGCTCTGCCGCCAGAACATTGACGTCCACTCACGCCCCTCTTGCCACTGCTGAGGAGCCTGCTGCTTCGCCTTCCGAGTGAGGAGGGGGATGTTGGGTTGTGCGTTGTCGACTGCTCTGTGTTTCTCGCGTTAGTCCAGGTAGCTGTTTCAGATTGCTTCATACTGCGTACTTCATCCATGGATAGCAAAAAAAAAAAAAAGAGAGACTCTCCTTCCGCCTGCATGTGTACTTACGATACCACCGCATGCGCACACCAGTTGAGCGCGTGTAAGCGGGCAGATGGCCACAACTCTGTAAGTCTACTATGCTGTGATCTGTTTCCCTCTGGCACAGGATGACTCGAATTTCGTTGCAGAAGATATCGGAGAATAAAGACTACAGTGCCTCTATGAGCCTTCAGACTCGGAAACGGCTTCTGTGGCATTCAAAGCCTCCGCGCCAGCATTGCACTCGTTCGCCAAACGCTGGATGGACAGGATGCACCTGGTACCGGAATTCCAAGCGGTGCTCATCTCCCGAAGACCCAGCACGCAGACTTGCAGTCTTTGTATGGCCTTCTTCCGCAGCTCGGCATCAGCCGACATTGTGTCGGCCAGATGTACAGTCGCCGCGGTGACGGTGCAATGCACGGCAAAGATGGGGATCCGTCGCTGGCCAGCTGTCAGATACACCTCTACTACGTCATGGTATTACGGTGTACGACTGCTCTTCAGGTCATGAGAACGAGGGGGAAGGAGATACGATGAAACTCACCAGCGTATAATTCACCTTGTATATTCGGATGATATTGGAGATCCACTCTGCTGAGGTTCGGCAAGCTTGGATGTGAATGTCGTGCGGCCCGGTGTCTTGACCTTTCAGCGGGAAGTCTTGGCGGAACATCTGGAAGAAGGGTCGGTGCAGCAGGACCACGGCGGTGTGGTATTGGAGGCTGTTGCTGCGCGTCTCAGCCTCGGTGACGACTCTTAGTGACGTTGTGAAGAGGGCAGAACGTACTGGAGCAGATATACGTGCGGTGCAGATATCTGCAGGGCTGATGGAGAGATTCTGAGAAAGCTCGGGAGTCGGTGATAGAACGAGACCAGTCTGAGGTGAGACCGGGTGACGTGACTGTAGACGTGCTCCCTCGAGACAGGGGTTTTGGGTATGTGACTAGCAGATGTCAGTTGACATGATGCTTCGTGCTCTCCTTCAACGCACGCCACATCTCCCTCCGGATCAAGCATACTCTTGCTCTAGGATCTTGGACATTATCCCGAACAGTTCCAGGACGTAGTGGAAGTTTGTCACGCCGTACGATGTACGTATGACCACGTCAGACACAGCTCGCGGTATCGGCCTCCACTCTCGATGCTCTGTCTCGCCATAGAGCGACGGCTTCTCGACCGTGATGCTGCGGTAGGGTATTGTAGCCGGTCTTCCCCAGCCTACGCTGAACATCCTTTCCGCACCAAGATTCACCGTCAGCCACGCTCGCTGCATGCACGTACACGGGGCGTCACGGTCAAGTCACCTGTCTATCATGTAGCAGCCCCACCAGGTTATCGACCGGGCCTCCGCCTCATCACAGGATATGACACCCCGCGTGACAGCGTCGGAGCAATCCAGGTGCAGGCCTAGATTGAAGGCCATCCTCGTCGCGATCCCGCTGTAGACCCAGCCGCTCGATTCCATGTCCAGCGCCATCTCGCGGACGGCCAGCAAGGCAGCTGCCTGGACCGTCATGGTCGTCGGAGATTCAAACTCGCAGTTGAGCATGACCTTGGCTTCGTTCGCATACGCCTCTCCCGCCGTGTCCGGATCGTCGACGTCCAGCCTCACCTCCGGCCTATCAGACAGCCTGGAGGTCACGGAGAATATAGCAAGGAGTAGGAGAGGCGAGCAGAAGCGCCCCGAGTGTTCGCGGTGGAGATCATGCAGGAAGGCCTTCTCCGGAACGAGGTAGTGCCAGGAGTTCTGCCAGCACCAGAAGAGGTCGAGGAGGTGGTCCCGCAGGTCTTGGGGCACATCAGCCACACCGGTCAGTCGCCTCGCGGCGGCGTATCCTCTCTTCTGTGCGTCGCTCGGCGACGCAACAGCGTCGGAGGATAGGAGCTGGTGGTTCCGCGAGTAGAAGAACCGCAGCTGTCCTGTGTCGGAAACGTGGAGCCGCCCCGGGCTGGGCGTGATGGCATCGATGAGTGTGTGTATCGGTGACGCTGCATCCGAGGCTGTAGGTGGTAAGGCGGCGGGTGGTGGGCTGTGCTGTACTTCTCCCTTGGGAGGATCGATTGTTGATTCTGCTGCTGAGCCGGCCTGGCTCGACAGTGCCTCTTCGAGACTCTGGATCCGTGCCAGCAAGGCCTGGACGTACTGTTTGCTGGGTGGCCTTGTACGTTTGCACTCGTCAGACAGGATGCGACATTGACGTCTGACGACGGGTATCAGGTCACAGGCATCATTACCTTCGTCGCGATGTGCCATGGCTGTACTCGCACAGCTGGGATCCCTTTTCGCATGCCGCACACCGGGGCATCTCGCCGTTGCACTGAGAATGGAGCCTCGCATGTCAGAACAGCAGCCCAGGGGAGAAGGGAGGGGGGGGGGGCAGTCGTGGACGGTGTTGTGATGAGGTTGAGATGCAGGTCACGCGCTCCTTGCCTTGATCCGTTTCGCACGACATTGATTGCATGCCAACGTCACTCTTCGCCGGGATCTCGGCCGCTTCGGTGATTCACTCATTGTACGTCGCCTGCAGGAAACGGCCGTATCACTGCCACTCGTCGGGGGGTTTCTCTCTGCATCCGGGGACCCCGTAGTGTCATGTGTGGAGAGGGGAGGGATCCGAATCGGTTACTATCTATCCGGGAGGCTCATTTTGGTGGGGTTCTACGGAGTAGTGGCGGTGTTAGGACTCAATCTGCCCCAACTTATTCAGCGGATGAACTCGGGTGCATCATTACGGGATTCCCACGGATATGCCAAGCTGTCAGAAGACAGTATAGCCAACATTATTCTATCGTCAATGCATGACTTGACAATTCAAGAGGATGGGGCACGGCAAACGATGCCAGAGAAGTGCGGATGATCTTCGAGCCGAGAACTATTCTTCTTCGGTAGGCCAATCTATTGAATCTGGCGATATGCACGAGAGCATCTAATCCGCTTGCTCCTTCGTGAGAGAGAACACGGATGAATACAGCACGCAAAGCCGAACCGTCCCCCATCGCAAGGAGAAGAGGGTAGAAGGGAGAGAGTCAGTCCCCACCGCGACGAGCAGAAGGCTCGGGACCACCAGCAGACCTGGTCACCCGGGGAGGCGAAGGGCCAGCGTCGGACGACGCACCGGGGTGGTGCTCGTCAACGATGTCGACGACGGCATGGCTCATGTACCGTCCGTCGCCGTAGCTGATGTCGACAACGCGCACGAGCGCATCGCCGGGGATGGCACCCCGCTCGATGCAGAGGTTGACATAAGCGGGCTTCAACTCCTCCAGCCGGGCGACGTAGGGCGCACCGACCTGGGCGCGGGGGTCGTGCTTGAGGAGGAAGAAGTCGGGTAGGGCGCTGCGGCCGCACTCCTTGGCGGTGCTCTTCATGGGGAGCTTCTGCATCTGGCGGGGGTTGTCGAGGGGCCCAGCGGCCTTGCGCTTCTTACCGGCTGCCTCGGACGAGGCGGCGGAGGTCTCGGCCTGCTGCTGCTGATTGCTGCTGCTGTTCTTCTCCTTCTGGGCCGAGATGCGGGCACTGTATTGTCGGGACGAGGCGCTGGAGGGAGGAGAGTTCAGCTCCTCCTGCGCGGTCGGGGCCTTGGAAAGGTTCAGGTGAAACATGGTGACTTGATCTGTGCATGTATGATGGGGAAAAAAAAAGAAGAAGAAAACCAACTTGCTGAAGTAGGAGTGGGTTTTCGAGTGAAGATGCGTATCGATCTGGAGATATGTCGAGAGGATGTAGATCTCTGCGTGTGCAGGACAAGATGTAGAGAGAGGGCGAGGGAGAAGAGTTTATAGACAAGAAGAAAGAAAGAAGAAGAAGAAGAAAAAGGCAACGCTCTGCGTGGCCGCTCGAAGCAAGGCGATTCAGAGAAGACAAAGGGCCAGCTACGGACACCTGTTCCGATTGTCGAAGCCGTATAGGCTATCCAATCGCTGCCTTGGTGGTGTGGTGGGTGATATCTGTGGACAGAGAACAGGTGCACGGACACACCCTGCGACGTCCTCACTCTTTGTTATCGGTCCTGATGGCGCGTCCGTCACCCCGCAGCCTGGGCAGCGTGGCAGGAAGGAGATCCTCGTCAGCATTAACCGCCACATCGACCGCGGACAAGGACGGACATCATCGCCGCCTTCCGCGGGCGCATGTCCCCGTGAATGAAACGAGAGCGAGGGAGAAGGAGGAGGAGACGGCGAGTCGACGGATGCTGCGCAGATTCAATGTCAGCTTCACGGGCACGGCGGGTTAGGAGTGGCCTAGCCACCATCGGGCTGTGAGACTGGCGGTTCTCCGACAGCTCTCGAGGTGTGTCGACCGATCATCGGAACAACGATGACGGGCGAGCAGAGAAAGCATGCAGTCGTCATGACCGTGCAGTCCTCTGTCCCGTCCGGGTCGGCATGGCCGTACAGAGGTCTGGATGAGCCTGGGGAGAGAGAGGCCTCGTCCGGAGATGGGCGCCTGCAGAGAGGGGTCAGTACGATGGACACAGCAAAGGACGGGAAGGAGAGAGGACATGCCGTACTTGTGACTTGTGCCGTGGAAGTTGAATGAGTGACAAGGTGGCTGAGGGSKGRGGGGGGGGGGGGGGGGGGGGGGGGAGAGTATCTACGCATACGTACACATGCAATCTGTACTCCTACACAAGCATTACACAGTCGTACAGTAATGATGACGAGATGATGACGAGATGAATCTCAGACCTAGAGGTCATCTACATGGACAGCTCGTAGCACACAGAGACATGGTTGCTGGGTTCCTGCGTATGGGGTTTCCCTTATCTGCCATTGCGTCAACAGATCGGTTACATGACAAGCGAGATGCGAGTTTTGCTGCCGAGGGTAAGGTAGGTAGAGAGGTAGGTAATGCACGTTGCATGTAGCCGGATGCAGATCAGTAAGCATCATCCATTCCTCTGTGTCGAGACAAGAGTCTCAGGCCATGCCGGTTTTTTCTTTTTCCTGTCTCGGTAAACATGTATATTTGATGGCTCTCTGCTTCCAATCTTTTGTGTGTTTCGGTGTCAAAAGTGCACAGGCATTCCGTTAACGTGTGTTGTTCGTCTCCTCTCGCTATCCGACAGTCTGCATCTGCCATCTCGTCTGAGCGAATTGCATCAGGGTACCCGGAAGACATGATGACTTTAGTTGATCTACAACACTCCTTATATTTCAGACAACTATGAATGGGGGCGGACGACGTTGTGCCCTACGGACATACCGCAATGTGGTCCCATTTCAAGTCTGCCGATCAACGCCATGGATGCAACGTCGCATACATGTATGGAGAAATGGTAGAGAGGCAGAGACAGCCAGATTGAATGTTTAGAACCCATCTTCTTCTTTCCTCGCCTTCTAGGTACTTGCTCTACATGGGGAGAGTCATGTACGACATGGTTGAGTCGGCGAGCTTCCCTTTCTCTCTGGGAAGCTCCTGTTTTTATTCATCATCTATTTATTATCACTATTATTATTATTATTATCACCATCATTATTATTGAATCGGCAACTTGCCTAATGCTAAAACAACAGAAGACAAAAGAAGAAAAGAGAAAAAGGGAAGACGAAAACCATGGCTTCGGAACTCCGGAAGCATGGTTGGCTGAGTGTGGATCTCAAGGCGGAGAATGGGCATACAAGTACGAGAAGTACGAGTATTGATATATTATACGATGCATGTGCCGCACGACGGAGCGATTGACCTGCCCGCTTACGGAGTATGCAAAACGACTGACCCAGCTCTCTGGAGGATGGACGTGAAGAGAACTGACATGGAGAGCATTCACAATGTGTCTTGTGTTCTTGTTCTTGTAGAACCACGTCGTCTACCCCTCTTCCTCTCTCTCTCTCTCTCTCTCTCGTATTCTGAAATGTAACGTGTACGTTTTGGCCTTTTATTTTTATTTTTATTCTTATATATACCAAGACATTCTACAACTACAGTTTCTCCCGTATAGTATTGGTACAAGTAAAATATCAATACAACCCAGCTGCATCTACCGGCCTCGGCACCTGATGTCGAGCCTTGGCAACGGGACCTTGGGGACCTTGGCATTAATAACATAACGGCCGTATTACCTTGTAGTGATGGCACTGCTCACTACGATTGCAGGTAATACTCGGATTGCCATGACGGTACGTTGAAGGGAAGCCCAACGTTCAAGCTCCATCGTCCGCCACTCGTGTCCAGCGACGCCAAGCTGCGGCCAAGTTCTAATTATAACCCCATCTTTACGCTCCTTGCTCCCGTGTCCTGCGTGTTAGCGAAAAGGCCATCCGGCTTTCTTCGCGTCCTGGTCGTATCATCATCACTCTCCTTCCATTCTCCTTACCCGACGTAGCACACACATCCGGCCATGAGCGCCTGTCGATCAAGCCTCTCTCGATCAATGAATTCGTCAGCATTCAGAGGACCTTCACTGATGATGGTCGTAGACACGCGCACGCGAAGAGGGATCTGAAATATCGCTGAAGAGAGTTTCCACGCGGGGATGAATGTCATAACTCACGCAGTTTTGCCCAGTCTAGCCCAGCCCAGCCCAGCCCAGGGAAGAAAGAATAAAGATAAAAAAAGAATACGAGACCTAGCAAACCGGGTCTCCGCATTTCCGTCATTCCGGCCATGACGGGCGAACATCGTATCGACCGCCCCTTTTTTTCTTCCCCTTCTTATTCTCCTCTACTCGTATTGCAATACGAGGGGAAACAAAACACACGTGCGGTGTTTTCCCCAACTCAATCTCTCTCTCTCTCTCTCTCTCTCGGAATCCCAATAAAGAAAATTGATCTCACCGCCCATGAACCGACAAGTTATCGGACGATCGGGGGGCGGGGGAAGGGTCCGCTGAAAATAATCCCGCTTACTTGCACCCCTCCGTAGAAGAGGAAAGAATGGCCGGTGATACATTTCGATACGATGTCTTGGGCTATCCTGACCCGGTCGAATCGGCCTCGCCCCCCCCCCCCCCCCCCCCCCCCCCCCCCCCCCCCCCCCCAGGCGGGCCGTCGGTCTTTCCATCGACAGTCTGGGTGCGAGTGCGAGTGCTGGTAGGAAGCGGTATTGTTATATAAAGAGGTGGTCCATATACCGGTTCCATCGAGATATCATCATCAGCTCTCCTCTACTCTCGCCAACACACCATCACCACTCTTGACAAGCCGTGTCTCTCCAACCTCCCACTACTCTTCAGCACATCACCACTCTCAAACAACCTTCAAGATGCAACTCTCCAACCTCTTTGCCCTCGTTGCCCCCTTCGTCGGCGCCGCCCTGGCCGACACCGGTATGTCCATTTCATCCATCCATCTACCCTGTTCATGGCTGACGTGAAGGTGGGGGGGAAAAGTCTCCTACGACGTCGGCTACGACGATGCCTCCCGCTCCCTGACGGCCGTCTCCTGCTCTGACGGTGCGAACGGCCTCATCTCCCGCTACGGCTGGCAGACCCAGGGCCAGGTGGCGAGCTTCCCCTTCATCGGCGGCGTCCAGGCCGTGGCCGGGTGGAACTCCCCCTCGTGCGGCACCTGCTGGAGCATCTCGTACAACGGGCACACCATCCACGTCCTGGCCGTCGACCACGCGGCCTCGGGCTTCAACATCGGCCTCAACGCCATGAACTCGCTCACCAACGGCCTGGCCGAGCAGCTGGGCCGTGTCGAGGCCACGGCTACGCAGGTTGCCGTCTCCGAGTGCGGTCTGTAGGGTCTCATCATGTCTTCAATTCTCATGTCTTCAATTCTCCGGAGAGCTCCGAACGGGCGTGTACAGTTGAGATGGACACGGAGTGAGGGGAGGGACTGGCTGGTACTGTAATTCTTTCATTCAGATTATGATTCACGCCGCATCTTGATTTTTTCAATAACACAAGTTTTTATTTTTTTTTTTTCATTTTTAAATTTCCACCTCTTTTACCGTTGAAGCTTCAAAGTAATTGATATCTGGTTCTTGTTCCGTCTTTCCCTCGACAATACCATTTCCACAGCACCGAAGCTAGCAAGATTGATAAAAGCGCAGATGACCCATTCTACCTTGCTTCGTGATCATCGCCCAATATATTCAACACCACCATCCAATCGATCCGACCGTGACTCGTTGGTCTCCCTGGCGCCTGTATTGGGGGGGGGCACCTGTTTACCCAGACCGAGATGGTATCTCGACTACTTGTAGTCAGCTCTGTGCTGATCAAGGATTATAAGGTGAGCATTCCCGGCCCGCCGCCAGTCCCATAGTTGGCCTCGTCATTTTTGAAAACCCAGATAACTATTCAAGCCCGCATCCTCATGCTTGGTTGATGCGATAATTATTGGAGACGCTGCTGTCACTGCCGCTGGTATCGCTTCTGTCGCTGAAGTGGTGGGGGTAGTCGTATCCGTCCTGTTCTCTCTCTCTCTTCTGAGGAGATGTCTGCGGGACTGTTGTCCGTTTTCCGTCGTGCAGGCAATCACTCCATACTTGGTCAAAATATATATATGTAAATGTATATATGCCCGGTAGGTGTCATTATAAAAAACGACCACGTTTGCGGACTGTCTGCATATATGCAAAATAGCGTCAGTTGGCGGATAACGATCACAGCGGGTTTTCCTCGTGTCTATATCTCCTGTAGGGTATCCAGTCTGGATCCTTGCATACGACGTGAGTGAGGCATGTCGCTATAGTACAGATAGGAACAGATGCTATAATATTAGTATCAAATGCCTGTAGACGTATCATTGAAGGATCGAGATCGTTTATCAGTACCCCACACAAGCGTCGCGACAGAGCGCACCTTATCTTGGTAGCGTACCTTGGCATCAAAGCGCCCATCGTACTTGTCATGGCAGTGTAGCTCGCCTGAGAGAGTCGGAGACCTTATAAAGAATGCCGGCCAGTTGGGAAGAGATCAACTCACCAAGGTCATCAAAGGGCGACGGTGGCGGCTTTACTTTTCCATGGGCCGCCATCAGACCCTAGGGTCACAATAGCGTGCGTACGTGCATGTGTGTGCGCGTGTGTGCGCGTGTGTATGTGTCTACTCTCGGCATCAAGAATGGTGCGGAGAAAGGAAGCTCGGCGGAGAAGACTGTCCTCTCCCCGGGTGGTGTCCAGTACTTCGTAGGTACCACGCAGTACAGGCATGTACATTGGTGTACTCTTCCCCTCGGATGCAGGGGCTCTGTTCTCCGTAGGAAAACCTCCCCAATAATGGGCTTGACAGCCAATCTGCCCATGATGCATGTGCAGTATCGTCTTGTGACCACGTCACAATGGTGTGAGGTGGGGAGGGGAGGGACGGTGGGACGGGGAGGGGTGGCTACTTTCCTCTTCTTTTCCCCACACTCTGGGCACCGCACTCCGGGGTTGACTTTCAAGGGTGTTTGGCTGGATCCATGTGCTGGGGTGCACTGGGTGTGCGACAATCGGGGCAGAAACTCGGTGATCAGAGACCCGACATACAGAAGAGACCGATCTTCTCTAGCTTGGCCTGTGTGTCTAGGATCACAACGTGGAGGGGGGCGATGCCATCGATTATTACTCTGATAGTAGTAGTACTGCCTTTATTGTATGTATCAGCATCATTAGCTGTATGCAAGAAAGAGGAGAGAGAGAGAGAGAGAGAGCGGAGGAGGAAACCTGTGCAACACACGGCAAGGGCAGGAATGAGGGGAGGGGGGGGGCGCGGTCGCACCTTCCCTTCCACTCACCGTACTTAGACATCCCCATCCCCGTCGATCCTACGCACCCAACAAAGCTTCTTACATTTTAATCCTCGGCTACTATTACTCTTCCCTTCTTCGTCGTAATCATCATCATCTTCCTCCTCCTCCTCCTCCTCCTCCTCTTTCCACAGTTCAATCCACCAATCCGTAAACCGATACGACCATCAATCTCATTTCTGATGATCCTTCCTCACATCGTCGCTCATCCCTCTTTCCCTCTACTTGCACCCTCCACAAAAACATGGACAGTCTTCCCCCCGAGATCCTAGACCACATCATCTCATGTCTCGACGACACCGACACGGCCACAGACAAGCTGTACGGTGAACCGGCTGACCTGCTGGACGCCTCACTGGCCACCGTGGACATCAAGAACGCCTCTCTGGTCAACAGCACGTGGCGCAACGCCTGCCGGCGCCGGCTCTTCCAGCACATCAGGTGGACCATCCGGCCCGAGGAGTACGAATACCAGCCGGCTGAAGGGTCATATCCGCCGCCGCTGGGCCACGACCTGCACCGCTTCCTCGACAGCATCGCGACCACCTGGCCGGGTGGCGAGTCGGTCGTGGCCAATGTGCGCAGCCTGCGCCTCGTTTCGGGCGAGGCAAAGGGCACCTTCTGCATGAGACGCGACGCCACCGCCAACCTGTGGCCCTCCATCTTCTCGCGCATCAACCCGCGCCGCGTCACCGCCATCGGCGACCCGGCTGCCCTGTCCATCATCCTCGGCCTGGGATATCTCGAGGGCAGCAGCGCCTGGATGTTCGACCTCCCCATCCAGCTCGTCCAGGTGACCAGGCGGAATGCCGCCTCCACCGACCCGTCGACCAGCTACAGCTGCCGCGGCATGCCTACCCTCTTCTCCGTCCGCCAGTGGGACAGTCTCCTGCTCAACGAGGGCTCCTTCATCCCCACCTACGCCACCTACGACTACCACCACCACGTCCAGCCGTCCCTCCTCCACATGCTCCCCGCATCCGACGGCATCGCCTTTGACGACTTCGCCTACGTCTCCGCCTTCCCCACCTCCCCGTACTTCACCGTCGTCTTCCTCCTGCACATGCCCACCGCCAAGAACATATACATCCAGATCGTCCCCCGGGAGCTCGACTTCACCCGACGTCTCCCGCCCTCCACCCTCGGTCACCTCGACATCAGGGACCCCTGGATGGAGTGCATCTCCGTCTGGTCCAGCGTGGGAGACATCATCTTCCGCGGCGCCGACCTGCGACCTCGCTGGAAGCATGTCGACACCTTTGAAATGGGCGCCACCGACCACATCGAGAACATATGGAACGACGTCGAGCACCGTGCCGTCGCTCAGAAGCCAGGGGAGCTCAGGTGGGGCATTGCCAGGCAGGGTCTTCTTGTCCGTCGGTGATTGATTGATGGTACTTGCCTGTGTCCGTCATTGGACGTGGTATATGAGTAAACGCGCAACATCTTGGTGGCAGTTTTTTTATTCTTCCTTCTTGTAACGGCTTAATATTTGATCTGTGTATAACATTTGATGATGACTTGGTGGGTGGTAGGGGGGAAACCTTAGTTCTTGTGAATTACATTCTCAAATCTCTTTTAATGATGACAAAAGGATTCTCAACTCATGGGAGTTGTTTCAGTGGTCCCAACAGATGATGGATTTTTGTAGACTAGATTTTGAGTCGAGAACGCCTGTGATATGCCATGATGAAAAACCCCGTATAACCCCCCCCCCCTCCCACCCGAAATGAACAGAAATAGCAGAATACCCGTTTCGACAGTAAAAGGAGGTCAGTATGCTAGTGATGGGGGTCCCGTAATATATGTACAGAGTTGGACGTTGTCAAAATCTAGAGAACCAGTTCCTCCTAAGAAGAAAAAGATTGTTTAGTCATTCACGAAGAGAAAAAAAAAGGATATCTAGTAAATAATTATTTGATAATAAAACAAGGAGAACATTCTATCAGCACACAAATGGCAAAGGGGGAGGGGGGTCTAATCGTGATTGTCATCGCTCCCATCAGCCTCGACATCACTATCAGACAGGTCGACGGCCAGTTTCTGGGCCTCGTGCTCCTTCATCTCACGATACGTGCTGAAGCTGAGGGCCAGGAATGCCAGGGTGATCATGGACCCGCCGACGATGGCGGCGAAGCTGAGCGGCTTGGCAGTGATGAGCCAGTCGGCCAGGGCGACGATGAAGATGGTGAGGAGGGCGGCGACGGACGACAGGACAGGCGACGTGAGCGAGATGAGGACGAGGAAGGAGCCGCTAAAGGTGGCGTTGGACAGGACGGCAGCGAGGACGAGCCATGCGGTCTTGCCGGTAGGCAGCTCGAAGAGCTCGATGCCGGTCCAGTGCAGGAGGGGCAGGGGGAACCACAGGACGGTCAGGGTGAAGAGGCCGATGAGCGAGCCGAAGGTGTTGGCGAAGATGACGCCGCGACCGGGGGACACGCCCTCTGGCGGGCAGGCGTAGCGCTTGTACAGGACCTCGTAGAGGCCGTAGAGGACGGAGCCCACGCCGATGACGAGGTTCCCGACGAAGCGGCCGCTCGCCGTGACGTCGTCGCCGTCCCCGGAGCTGGAGCCGCCGTAGGCCACGACCAGGACGCCGGCGATGGCGATGACGACGGCGACGGACTTGTCGAGGCGCAGGGGCTCGTGCAGGAGCGGCACGGAGAAGACGTAGGCGAAGAAGGCGGAGCAGTTGTAGATGGCCGTCAGGTCCGAGGGCGTCGTGAGGGCCACGGCGACGTACCAGCTCAGGCCGGCGACGGTGAGGGCCGTGGTGACGATGGCCGTGAACTTGGCCAGGTACCGCACGGGGTCGGCGTTGAGCCTCACCGACGACGATGGGTGCCGGTATGCCCGCAGCGACCGCGTCTCGACCATGACGGCCGTGGTGCGCAGCGACTCGAAGTGCTGCCGCAGGAACACGCCCCAGGGGACGTCCCGCTTCTGCGACCGCAGTACTAGCAGCTGCACCGGCCACAGCACCACCCACGACCCGTGCGTCAGGTACATCATGCAGTACGCCTTGCCCCAGCCCAGGTCGTTCTGGATGTACGAGCTCAGCTCCGTCTGGACGCAGAACGACACCAGGCTGACACCCAGGAAGAAGGCTGCAAACATGTACTTGCGCTTGGCCTTGTCCTCAGCCACCACCTCGCGCGGACTGCGACTACGCATCATCGACCGCCGCCCGGCAAACGTCGACGCCTGGGATGGGGCCGCCGACCGCCCACCACCACCGCCGCCGTAATACGGCGGTCCGTTGCGGCTCTCCGACAGACTGGATCGGCCGCGCTGCTGCTGCTGCTCCTCCTCCTCCTCCTCGTTGTCTTCTACCTTGCCTTTGCGCAGAAGCGGCCGGATATTCTCATCCTCGGCGCCGGCGTACACCGGTATACGACCTTGGGGGCCGGCCATTATTTTAGTCTGGAATTCCTGTGCGGGTGTCGTATCTGGATCGTCTGTCTGAGGTGTGGTCCGCCAGATGTGTCTTAGGGGTTGGGAAACGGTTCACATGTGGGCGTTGTCGAAAGGGGTGAAATAAAAAATGGTGATCCGGAGAAGGGGGGATTTCTTTTTCTGGTCTCATGCCATAATCTCGCTGGGATATTCGTGGAATTTTGTCGTAAATTACAAAAGGGAGAACAGTGCGTGTGTGTGTGTGTGTGTGTAACGAGAAGAAGAGAGAGAAAAGAATGGTCAACCTCCCCCGTTGTGTTGGTGATGCATGCAGAACGACGTAATGTCGGGTATTATCACTTCTTGGCGATTCGAGACGTATATTATTGCAATATTACTGCCAGCGTGGCCAGGCCTCTCTCTCACTGTCCGATGACGACTGCACCTACGGTTCAACCGGTCAGCCATGAACGACGCCTGTGGTCACCCGGTTAGGGGCGGTACATTGCGCTACTCGTAGAGGCTACAGAAGCTTTATAGTGGGTCTTATGCTGTTCTCGGCGTCGGGAGGTCACTAAACTTTGGATCTCATGCTCGCGTACCGCCATCTGCCCATCCAATCTGGATGATCCATGGATGGATATTAATACATAAAATATGCGGTCCATGCTGAGGGGGAGAGGAGAAGGTCAAGCTGTGGGGGGGGGGGGGCAGGCGCTGTATTACTGAGTCTACAGTGCAGGGGCGGTCAGCGAGGATGAATTTCAGGGCCTGGGCCGCTCCTTCTAAAAGGCCTTTACCCCATGCCTCGCTGCTACGCTGAGGCTGAGATGAGTGGACGTCCGGTTCCTTTGGGTCTGGTACTTTCACCGATGATATTATCGTGGAGCATCAATTATTAGTAGTGACAGTTCGGTCCGTCCATACAGGTGGGTGGGCAACAAATGACGGACAGATGAGAGAAGATGGAAGCACATGTTAGTTCCGATTGTCGGTCTGTACTAATAGCTAGCAGTACCTCTGTGGATTAGCCGAATACAGCCAACAACTACTAAGTCCTCTCGTCGGATTACTCGCTACCAAAGAGCGCCTTCCTGGTATCATAGGTGTACGTCAGATCTCCATGCCAGTAGTTTGTCGAGTCGACCTTGGATACAAGCCAGGCCTGGTCGAGTGCTTGGACGACCTCGTCAGGCAGCGGTCCCTTCTCGAGGTTGTTGAGATTGTCTTCGAGCTGCGTGACGCTGGAGACGCCGATGATGATGCCGTCGTTGCCGTCCTTGATCTTGAGCTGCGAGTGGTGCACCATCCACCTGAGCGCAGTCTCGATCATGGTTAGCCCCTCCTTCTGCGTGGCCTGCTCCACCAGCTGGAGAGCCTTGAAGGTGCTCTCGCGGAAGTAGCGGTCGCGGTAGTTCTTGCCCTGGGTGGTGGTCGTGTTGGAGAAGCGCCCGCTCTCGGGGACGAGGTCGGCGGACTTGATCTTGCCCGAGAACAGGCCGCCGGCGAGGGGGTTGTAGGCGACAATGTCGAGGCCGTAACGGCGGCACGCGACGAAGAGCTCCGCCTCGATGCCGCGCGTGATACAGTTGTACATGCCCTGGTAGATGGTCGGCCTGACCCAGTTGTTGTACTTGCACGTCATGACGATCTCGGCCACCTCGTACGCCGTAAAGTTGCTGATGCCGAACTGGACAAACTTGCCCGCCTTGTGCAGCTCGTTCATGGCCTCGAGTGTCTCGGCGAACGGCACCGTTCTGTCGGCTCGGTGAAGGTAAAGAAGCTGTTCATCCATCCCTCTCCCCATCTTTCTGTTAGCCTCTGTACTCTTTCGTGGTATTCTTTCTCTCGTTCCATTCGTACAGAGGTGCAAGGTGCAGAGCAAGGTGCAGAGGGTATACTCACGTCGATACAGTCCGTCCCCAGCTCCTTCAGGCTGCTCTCCACAGAGGCAATCACCTTGTCTTTGGCGTTGGCGCCAGGCTCAGAGGGATACTTGACCTTTGTGGCCAGCGTAAGTCCCCGGCCCTTCCAGCCGGCCTCGCGCGTAAAGGCCTCCTGCCTGCCGCCGATGTAGACGGGCGCCGTATCGACCTCATTGTACCCTCGGGCCTGGAAGGTGTCGAGGGCCTTCTTGAAGATGCCCTGGTCTGTAATGCGTGCACCGGCAGACTCATCGGGTCCGAAGGTCATAAGACCCAGGATAATGCGGTTGTTTACCTTTTGAGTAGCGAGAGACATATTGGAACATCTGTATACTCAGTCCTAGGTGTCTGTGTGCGTGAATAGTGTGAGAGAGTCGGGAGGGGGGGAAAAGTGTTATGCTGCTCTTCAATCAATGAGCTCACCCCTCCCTCAAAAGCCCCTCTTTGCCCCACGACCGTGAACGGCGATAGCACGGAGATTGGCATATTCCTCCTTCCTTTGGCAATCACACCATCACCCAGTCCTGAGGTCCCACCGTTCAGGTTGAAAATTTCTTCACTTGTTTAAATCCATATCGATATTTCGTCTCTGGGCGTAATTTTCACTCAGAATGTTTGTTTGCAATAGATGTTGCACTTCTACGCGCGCTCGCCACTCTTAATGTAACGTATGATCAGGGTAGCAGCAGCAAGCAGCCTACCAGGCTCGCGTTTGCACGGCGCAATGACGTAGCGGAAATTCAATTTCGGGGTAGGAATGGCCTGAAGAGAAGAGACAATGTATGTACGAACAGGAAGCTAAATGAACAGATGGTGTTAGAATCGATTGTGGTTCATGTCTCCAACTTATATCGTTTCCACGTTCCTGACATAACATAAGGGAAAAGGGAGGAGGGGACCGAGAGAGAAGGAGCTCTATTATGGAGTCGCTGGCATTAAGAGTTGTGGACCTGGGCCACGAACGGGACAATATCGGATAAACCTCTCCACACGGGGGACCGCCAAATGAGCCAATCAAGATGCTCGGAATTGCGAAATGTCGGGGAAGCTTGCTAGTTCACCCCAAACCCCAAGGCATCCCAAGGCAGCGAAGCGACAATAACTCACAAGAGAGATGCACCGTCGAGAGAGGCAAAAAGGGACACATCATTGGGTCCGCTCTTCCCCCCCCTCCCTCAATATTAATTGACCGTCGGCGCCGTGCATGATTCTTTGAGTCCTCTCCCGGGCTTCAATCATCATGAGGGCGAGCCTAGCGCGACATGCCCGACATGTCGTCGTACGGCAGGCCCACGCGCCATCGTGCGCTTCGTACGCAGCAACGCGAAGACGGCCGGTATTATCGGCAAGGCAGCAAACGACGACAATGGGATGCCGGATGTTCAAGAGGACCTTTCTCGAATTCCTCTTCAAAAAGGCACCCCGAGAGATCCGCCAGCCGGAGTACGAGCCCGGCTGGATGCAGGTCATGGTGTGGCGGAGCCGGATGCTCGACAAGCTGCGGCCCCCGACGCGCAAGGAGCTCATGACGGCGTGGAGGAGCCTGATGCAGTCCAAGCTCAAGAGCAAGGTGCCACTCAACAGCACGCAGGCGCTGCAGTGCCGACGCCTCCTCGAGTACCTCACCCAACCCGCCCAGCAGGCCGACAATCAAAACGTCAAGAAGCTCTCCACGGCCGATCTGACCATGGCGCGCAAGGTACTCCTCGAGATCGAACCGTACGAGAGGACGAAGCAGCATCTCGACCTGGCCAGGGCCCTCGATGCCGTCTGGCAGTCGGGCGAATATCATGGCAAGGACAAGGACGCGCAGGAGCTCTGGAGCCACCTTGTGCGCGCCATGTGTCGATACGGCGGCGCCAGGGAGGCCCTCGCGGAGCTGTACGCCAAGTGGGACGACCCCAGCTATTCCAGATATATCGCGACAGCGGGAGACGAACGAGTCCTCGAGGACGTCGCCCGCGGACTCGCCGACGAGGGCCACGAGAAGGACCTCGTTGAGCTCATTGAGCGAGACGACGTCGCCTACACACCCAGACTACAAGAGATTGTCACCACACACTATGCCCGGCAGAGCCGGGTCCCCGAGACCCAGAAGTGGTTCACCAAGCCTCTAGCCGCCGGGCTGCCGCGCCCTTCGACATACCACGCTGTAGCAGCATTCGCATCCAGGAACGGCCTGGTGGACTGGGTGACGCCCTTCCTTCTGGAGCTGGGCCAGGCCCAACCCCGTAAGACGTACTGGGATGCCCTGCTCCGGTCCATGCTTCTCGCGGGCATACCCCTCGACGAGGTCCGGACCATGATGTCCCATATGATGGGACAAAACGGGCCCTTATCGCCCGATACGGCCACGGCGAACGCCATGCTCAGGGCGGCCGCCGAGCTGGGGGATCGCGAGCTGGCGGAAGGCATTCTGTCGATAGCATCGGAGAAGTGGATCCGGCTAGACGGCGAGTCGTACCTCATCCTGCTGTCGCTGCACGTTGCGGCCGGGTCGGTGGCCGATGCCAAGGCGGCGTTCGACCAGATGACCAACGTCGGCTCTCTATCGGGCGATTCGACAACGCTGTGGGCCGAGTACGACGACACCATGAACCGCTACCTGGTGCTCCTGTGCCGGCAGAGACCCCCGGACTTCAAGCTGCTGCTGGAGCTGCTGAGCGTGGTGGAGGAGGAGCGACTGCACCTGAGACCAGAGACGGTCGCCCGGCTGTGCCTGCGCTTCCTCGAGAACGACCAGTTTTTTGACGTTATGGATATCCTGTCCATCCACGCCTTCACATACAGCGAGGCGCAGCGCGATGTGGTCCAAGAGTCGTTCTTCCGGTTCTGCGTCGACGCCAACACGAGCACGTCCCGCGCCTGGGGCACGTACCAGCTCCTGCAGCAGTTCTTCCAGGACCTCAGCTTCGACCGGCGCGTCCTCCTCCTCGAGGCCTTCTTCGACCGGCGCAGGCCCGACATGGCCACCCACGTCTTCAGCCACATGCGGCAGCACGGCAACGTGGCCTTCCAGCCCAGGCTGGACACGTACGTCCGGTGCTTCGAGGGCTTCTCCCGCAACCCAGACCGCGAGGGCACCGAGTCAGTGCACAACATGCTCAAGATGGACCCGCGCGTCCGACCGGACACGAGGCTCAACACGGCCCTCATGCTCGCCTACGCCGCGTGCGAGAGGCCGCTCAAGGCCCTCGACTTCTGGAGCGAGATCAAGCAGTCGCCCGACGGACCCTCGTACGCCAGCCTAGAGGCCGTCTTCTGGACGCTCGAGCGGAAGTCGGGCGGAGGCACCATGGCCAGAGAGATCTGGGACAAGATCGAGGCCATGGATCTCGAGGTGCCGACGCAGGTCTACACGGCGTATATGGGCGCTATTGCCGCCTCTGCCAACCAGACCGAGGCGAGGAGTCTGCTGACCAAGATGGCGTCTTATACCGGTTCTGAGCCGGATGCCATGGCGTGAGTTGACATACCTTTCATCATCTTCATCTTCTCTTGTCATCGCAGGGAACAAAAGTAGCTGACCAAAACTTGGCGACGACAGACTGGGTATCGTCTTCAATGCGCTACCCGGCGATAAACTTCAGGCTGAGTTCAAAGAATGGGCGGCCAAAAAGTACCGCCAAGCCTGGGCCGAGTTGCAGAAGAAGAGGAAACGTAGGACGGAACTCGGCGTATGCCAATACAAACTTGACAGAGTTGTCAAGGCCTAAAGCGAAACGTCTTGTATGGGCATAGCTGTCGGTTCATGAGAGAGGGACCCAGCCACTGTACGAAATGGGAAGCACCGTTGTTGTTTCAAGATTCCTGTGTTGTTTATTCTCGTCCTTTCGCCTGTTGGAGAAGGCCAGCTGTATAGAGTACATATGAGGAGGAAACGAAAGCTGTTGTACATGTATTTGTATATATCCGGACAGAAATGGAGGCAGAGCATGCTGGACTACAAGAGGGTGTTTTGCCCATGTGGACAATGCCACCCTCGTCTCGAACAGCTCTCCTAAAACCTGCAACGCCTTGCCCACTACCTCCTGCCAGAGTCACCGGGCTGCGGGAAGAAGCGGTCGCGGATCATCTCGGGATGATCATGAACACTGGGATAGATGCCCATTCCGATGGCCCTGCGGACCATCTTGGCCACCTTGCGCTGGTTAACGGGTCGCAGACCGGTGAGTTTGGACGAGAGGATCTGCCCGGTGGGGTTTGTGAATTCTCTAATCATGGAGAAGTTCTGTTCCTCTCGTTAGACTCGTCTTCCTTTTTCTTGCTACCCTTTTTTCCTTTTTTTTTTTAAAAAAAGGTAAAAAAGGGAAAACTACACATAGGAGATAGAGAGAACGGAGGCGGGTGGGGAGGGGGGCAGAATAGAGGGATAGTTATATATACCTTGTACATGTCCTGAGGTCTAATACCGAGAACATCAATGATATCTGTCTGACGCATCCTCCTCCTGCGAAACTTCTGCATCTCGACGGGACTCAGATCGTGCGGAGCGTAGACGTCACCCGTCTTCCAGCGTCGGGGCATCTCGCGGAGGTAGTCGTTCGCCACCTTCTGCTCGCGCAGCCGGTCCTGGGTGGCCTGCAGGGCCTGGGAGTCGGCGCGACCCTGCTGCCTGTACCGGCTCAAGATGCGGGAGGCGGCATCGGAGGAGCGGGTTGAGCCATCGTCGTTCTTGTGCGAAGCACTGTGGTTGTTATTGCTGTTGCGGCGCGACGACGACGATGATGATCCGCCACGGTTGAGGGATAGGAGGCTGCTGTTGGTGGACTGGCGCTGCTGCTGCTGGGAGGCGCCGTTGCTGTCCTCTTGGGCGGCGGGCGTCGTGGTCGAAAAGGCGCGCTTCAAAGGATTCGTCAACCCACGTAGGGTTGACTGAATCGACAGCCGGGCCGACATGGTTGCGATTGACGTCAGTGACGAGATTGACGAGAGTGATGTTTTTCTTGGGGGGGGGGGGGGGGGGGGGAGGACACAGCCAAGGGGAAGGAAGGGATTGATGGTTCAATTTCGACGCGGCCAACCGGAGCCGGCATTATTCCGCCTGATGGATGGGTTTCCGCGCCTGCTGCAAAGGGCCCCGCCAAAATTTTCGGGGAAGAATCTAGTACTTGGAGATTTTTTTTTTTTTCCCCGGTCTTCCTTTTTTAATTGTTCAACGATAGCATCACCAGACGGATTTAGTCGCCCATCATGGTTCGCCAACTCAAGCATCACGAGAAACGCCTTCTGCGAAAGGTCGACTTCACAACCTACAAGCAGGACAATGACCATCGCGACAAGGCCGTTGTTCGTAGGTACATGATTCAGAAGCCCGAAGACTATCACAAGTACAACAGGATATGTGGTGTATGTCTCTTCCCCGTCTCTTCTTGTCGATGCCTGTTTGCTTCCCTTATCTCGCGCCTCTGCTTGCCTTGCCATGAGATTCTAACACTGCCATCACCTCACCAGTCCCTACGCCAGCTGGCCCACCGTCTATCCCTCCTCCCGCCCGACAACGCCGTCCGCCGCAAGCACGAGGAACTCCTACTCAACAAGCTGTACGACATGGGCATCCTGTCGTCCAAGTCGAAGCTGAGCGCCGTCGAGCACAACGTCACGGTCAGCGCCTTCGCCCGCCGCCGCCTCCCCGTCGTCATGACGAGGCTGCGCATGGCCGAGACGGTCCAGGCCGCCACCAAGATGATCGAGCAAGGACACGTGCGCGTCGGCACGGAGGTCATGTCCGATCCCGCCTACCTCGTCACCAGGACCACCGAGGACTTTGTCACGTGGTCCGTGGGCAGCAAGATCAAGAAGAACATTATGAAGTACCGCGATCAGCTTGACGACTTTGAGCTGCTGTGAGCGGCGTTGCTCCCCCAGACAACACAGAGACGACCTGCGGCTCAAGAGCCATCGAGACACATGATACCCAAATACGACAACTGAGGCCTTGGGGGAGAGACCATCCCAACCCCCACCCCCACCCTGCCTTTTTACCTTACCACTCTTCCAGAATAGGCGATCGATCAGCAACCCGTCTATTGAAGAGAACAAATCTCCGCCAGCTCGGGGAACTCAACATGCACATGAGCACTACCCAAGCACCCCCAGGGATCATATACCTCACCACCAAAAAAAAATGATGATGAAAAGAAGGAAGATGCCTATGGGGGAGGGGGGAGGGGTCGTCTCTGCTACGACAGCCGAAAAAGGATTTTGAAAGGGTGGGGATGCAGCATGAAAGACCAGAGATGGGAATCCTCCGTCAGCACAGGTACCGAGGAAAGACGCGCCGCATTACGAGCAATATACGTTGTGAAATGCGACATGTCCCAAATCAAGATATTAAATTTCGAGACACCATTTGCTCTCCTTTTTTTTTTCGCATTGAAGTCATCGCGGTTGCCGGAGCGGGCTGCCTTCGTGACGAGGCAGTAGCCTATGCCGAGAGGTTGAAGGAGGAGGGCAACCAGGTCCAATTGCACGCGTACCGGGGCTTGCCACACTGTTTCTATGGACTTACCGAGCATCCCGCGGCCATCGAATCCTATGAACGAGTCGTCAAATCTATAGAGAGGCAGAGCTTTTTGGCTGGCTAGGGACTATCTCTTCTCTGGGGATCTGGGGGGGGGGGGGCTCCTCCTGCTCTCTGGGTTGCAGAGTAGACTATGACAAAGTGATAAACACCACCGACGACATGAAAAGTACGTGATTGTGTTTGGAGATAGACAATGAAGCCATCTCCAGGTCATGACGTGCGAAAGAATCTGTTGCAATTGATATAGTGGGGAGGATGCAGATGGAGAAGGAGCTTGGCGGCACGCACTTGCCTCCAACGTGCCCTACTATTATTACATGGACAGTAATACATGTATAGACGAGAAATCTCCCCTCCCCCACTTACAAGTTCCGGAGCTTTCTCCCATGCACTCCGTCACATCTTCTAACTCTCTCTCCCCCTCTTTCTCTCTCTCCAAGAAAAAAAGGAAAAAAAGAAGTAGAAAAGAAGAAGAAAAGAAGAAGAAAAAACAAGAGAAAAGAAGGACGCTTCCATTCCACTCTTTCACACCATGTCGTCGTCATCCTCACCACCTTCGTATCTAGGCCAAGTCAAGGACGCTCTTGTGAGCCTCACGTTCCCATGGCTCTTCATGTCCATCTCGGCACGACACATTCCCCAGACGGTGCGTGAGCTGGTCTCCCGCCGCCAGTGGGCCACCCTCCTTTCCCCCGAGGGATTCAACGAGGCCTTATTCGGTAACTTCTGGGCCACGGTCGGCCCGGATGTCAAGCTCAACGCGAGCGAGCGCGTCCTGCCCCTCCTCGAGGGTCGCGTGCGCAATGGTGTTGTGACGTGCAGCGACGACGATGGTGCCATCGCCGGTCCCCCGGTCAGGGGTCGCGTCATCGAGGTCGGTGCCGGAAGCGGCATGTGGGCAGATGTGTTTGCGCATATTCGCAGCAAGACCAGCCATGGTGGCCCCGAGGCCGAGGGTCTGAGGAAGAGACAGACGAGCGGTGGTGATGCTGGCCTGACAAGGATTTACGGTGTCGAGCCGAATCCCCAATCTGCCGAGTCCCTCCGACGGCGAGTCGCCGACGTTGGCCTGGGTGACATCTACGAGGTCATACCGCTGGGCATCGAGTCTCTCAGCGACCCGCACGCCTGGGAGGGGACAACGATTGAGCCCGAGAGTATCGACTGCATCGTCTCCGTCCTCTGCCTGTGCAGCATCCCCGATCAGGAGGACAACATCAAGGCCCTGTATAAGCTCCTCAAGCCCGGTGGCACCTGGTACGTCTACGAGCACGTCAGGGCTCAGCGAGGCGGTATTCTTCTATCCATCTATCAAAGTAAGCGAAATTGTTCCGCCACCTTTTTCTTCCCCTTTTTTTCTTCTTCCCCCCTGCTTCTTCTTTCTCTCTCCGAATCAGGTTGAGCTGACAGCCAATTAGGAATCGTCAATGCGGCTTGGTCCTTTTTCGTAGGCTCGTGTCGTCTTTGCAAGCCTACCGGCGTCAACCTGCTCAATGCTGGCATTTGGTCAGAGGTTGATATTACTCAACCGCCTGATGAGCCGTCATACAAGGTTCTCCCACATATTCTAGGCACGTTGACCAAGTGAGTCGTGCTCGTTTCACGAAGCAATTTTCGTCGGCTTTTCAATAATTATGGGGGTCAAGCCCCTTCTCGTATGTGGTGAAATGATAGCTAAAAAGAAAAAATCCTGGGTATACTACTATCCATGTTTCCAAACGTCCGTGGCTCATAATTCATCGTCGTCGTCGTCATCTGACAGAAAGATGGATGTCCTCTTGGTCTTTCTATCCACTCTTACCATCTGTGGCTCATTGGTCCTTTCTTTCTTGCTCTCGACCTTGACATCCTCGACATCCTCGACATCGTTCCTCGTCTCCTCTTTGACCTCGTTCTTGGCCTCCTCGCCCTCAAGTTTCTTTTCGACCTTGTGCCCTGCCTCATGCTTGACCCCGAACTTGACTTCATCTTTGGTCTCATTCGTCAAGCCATGTTCCACTTCTTCGCCTATCAATTCCCTCCCAGCCCTAGGGGAGGCCAGACTGCTGGCAGTATTGCCCATACCCAGCCTGTCATTGTCCTTGGCATCGCCATCGTCACTGCCCCCCTTCTTCTCCGACGTTATCCTGGGCGTATCGTCCTTCCCGCCGGCCGGAAACTTCGCCTGCCTCCTCCGGTAGAATTCGTCCAGGCAGCGTCTCCTCTCTTCACCCGTCCAGCTCTCGACCACCAAGGCGAAGTCGGTGGCATTGCGGAACCCGAATTCCCTGGCCATGTCGCAGAACTGTCGTCGCTGAACGTCAGCGGGGGGGTTGAAGCGGCAGTGGTGGCCGCCATCGCGGTTGCCGCCTTGGAGGCTGGTGGCGAACAGGACGTGCTGGTTGCGCATGTCGTCGTCGGCATAAGCCCCCATGGCGGCTTGTCGGGACAGCTGCTCTTCTACCCTGGAGGAGCCGACCACGTCAGCGTTCTCGTGGGTGTACTCCACACCTGCTGATGTGAGGATGGCCTGTATGGCATTCATTCTGGGCGGGGCCGCCGCCGCCGCCGCCGCCGCTGCTGCTGTTGTCTCTTTGTGATTACCGGCGGCGCCGTTCGGGTTCTCCGACTTGACGAGGAGATCTGCTAGATGGCCTACGCCGCCGTCGTTGTCTTCCTTCTTCACTGTGGCGGCGGCGGCAGCGGCGGCACCGAAATCCTCGTGCTCCTTGGCGGCCTCCTCCATGTCAACGTCGGCGAGGCTGACGCCCAGCCTCGCCTCGGCAATGTTGGTCTTGTTGACGATGTCGCGGAGGAGGCCGCTGTCGCTGTGGTAGGTGAAGATGTTGGCGAGGCCAAAGATCTCACCCTTCCTGTCCGTGTCCTGCTGGACGCCGCGAAAGTACCGGCGCTCCGACGACGCCGTGTAGCCGATGTTGGCCTGCTGCTGCTTGTAGATCTGGCGGGCGTAGACAATCTCCTCGACGGTCCCCAGCGATATGAGGCGGAAGACCTCGACGTCGCGGGTCTGGCCGATGCGGTACGCGCGGTCCTGAGCCTGCAGGTCGTATGACGGGTTCCAGTGTGGGTCGACGATGACGACCTTGTTGGCCGATGTGATGTTCAGTCCCACGCCGCCAGCCTTGGTGGAGATGAGGAAGACGAACTGGTTCGGGTCCGAGTTGAAGCTGTCCACCACGTCCTGACGCGCCTCGTACCCCAGCGACCCGTCGAGGTAGCTGACATTGTAGCTCGTGTTGTGGAACAGATGCTGCAGAATGCGCAGCAGCCGCACGCTGTGCGAGAAGATGAGCACCTTGTCCTTGTTGGCGTGCCAGAACCGGAGAAGCTTCCGCAGCACCTTCCACTTGCCGCAGAACTCGGGGTTGACCAGGCTGCGGATCTGGTCGCGCGCCGCGTACAGCTCCTTCCACGATCCCGGGATGCACGTCTGCAACGTCTCGAGCTCCGACTTCTGCTTGCTCTCGAGATCTGTCGCCTGCGGGATGAGGAGCGTGACGTGGTTGGCCAGCTTCTGCAGCACAATCATGCTGGGGAAGACGATGCTCTGCCACGTCCTGGTGCCGTCGCTCAGACGCGTCTTGCAGCACCACCCCTTGGCCTTGCCGTGTGGGCACTTATCCGACACGGTCCGGAGGAGGTCGATGTCCGGACTACCCAAGAAGTTCTCGTAGGCGTCGCGCTGGAGGTCCGTGAGCGGGCAGAAGACCACCTTGTCCGTCTTCTTGGGGAGCTGGTGGGCGATGAGCGTCTTCATGCGCCGCAGGAAGTAGCGCGGGAGGAGGTTCCGCACCAGCTTCTGGGCCGTCTGGCGCGCCAGGCTCAGCTGGGCCATGGTGGCCTCGTGCGACTGCCCGATGGCCAGGGGCTTGGCCACCGTGTCCCTCCACTCGGAGAGGGAGCCGAAGTGGCCCGGGTTGGTCCAGTCCAGCAGCGTCCACAGCTCCTCGTATCTGTTCTGGATAGCGGTGCCGGTGAGGCCGATGCGGCACAGCGCGTTGACCTCGACCATGGCCTTGGTCGTCTCCGAGCACCGGTCCTTGATCCTGTGGCACTCGTCGGCGATGACGGCGTCCCATGGCACCATGTTGACGGAGCTCCGGCTGTTCTTGTACGTGTCGTACGTCGTGATCATGACCTCGAGGAGGCCCGCGCGTGCCGTACCCATCACGTCGTCCTTGTCGGCGCCGTGGAAGACGTCGACGTGCCACCAACCCCACCGGCTGAGCTCGTTCTGCCAGTTGACAATCAGAGACCCCGGGCAGATGATGAGGACCCGCGGGTACCACCGGTCGTTGTGGTAGCGCATGCGCCGCAGACGTTTCGCATCGCGCTCGTCTCCCGTCTTGCCAAAGGCCGCCGCCAGAAAGGCCGCCACCTGCACCGTCTTTCCCAGGCCCATGTCGTCGCCCAGGATGCCCCCCTCTTGGTAGACAAACTTGCGGTGCAGGAACTTCACGCCGTCGACCTGGTAGTCGCGCAGATACGTGGCTATAGGCGCGGGTATCAGCCCGCCCGACTGCGGCAGCTCGATGTCCCGGTACGGCCTGGACGGTCTGATACCGCTCGTCGCGTCAAACTTGGGCCGCGCCTCGACGTCGCCCGGCCGTCTCATCTCGTCGAGCACGATACCGGCGTAGTCTGGAGGCAGCATGAGCGCCGCCTCATGGCGGAGCCGTCTGTTGGCCTCAAAGATTCGCCTGCGCTCCCGCACATACTCTGGGACCCCGTCGAACTCGAGATCGTCGTCGTTGTTACCATCCTCGTCGGTGCTCGGGTCGTCGTCGTTGAGCGCCGCGGAAGAGATACGCGTCTTGTTACTTCTCTTCCCCTTCCTCTTCCTGTTGCTGCTGCCAGCGTATCTGCGCGCCACCCTCCGCTTCTTTGCCGGTTTCACTGGCGCACCGCCGTCGTCGTCTGACTGGTCAGACCATTTGACCTTGTCTGGGAGGTCAGGCGGCGGTTCCTCATCCGGTCTGGACTCTATGTTGTCAGTTCTCTCACACTGTTCGCCTGCGGAGTCGTCTTCCACCACGATCACGGCGGTGTTCTCCCTCCTGACCCGAGAGGACATGGTTCTTGGGCTGTTCGCATCTTACTGTAAGCCGTGAGCGCGCAGCCTTGAGAGAGTGAGACGCGCTTCGCGTGGCTTTTGATTGCGAAATCACGTGGATCCTTTTATTTGCACAGTCCGTACTGACACTGTGACACACTCCATCGTCTAAGTCACCTCGACCAATCTTTACTTTCGCCCACAACTGAAGATTTGTGGTTGCATGTTTCTCTGAATGGAATTTTTTTTTTTTTTGAAAGCTATACAAGTCTACGAAAAAAAAGTAAGGGAAAAAAGTGACCTGCTAAACAGCGAATCATGTCTCCGACCTAGAGCTTGAACCGGAAACCATGCTCAACAGCCTCACCAGGCGCAGCATTGACGGCACCCTCGACGCGTTCACCCCTATCGAGCCTCTTATTCAGTCTGACGAGCATGATCCTCAGGATGAAGGCTGCGACGATGGCCGTAGCGGACATTATGCAGTTGTGGATGAAGGCGCCCGTGTACTGGGGCGACGCGGAGCTGGGGTACAGGTAAGGGGTGTAGATGGAAGCGCAGTTGGAGATGGCGTTGATGAAGCCGAGGGCTGCGGCTCGCTTCGCGGGGGGGCGGGGGAGAGTGTTGCTTATCCAGGCGAGGGCCGTGGTGTATCCCGAATACAGGCCGGGGATCTACAATGGCGATGACGATTTATGTTGGTCAGAAACTTGGCGGTGGTGAGGGGGGGACTGTATGAGGAAGGTTCATACCATGAGTACCATGGCTACATATCTCGCCGCGAGATTGGTAGTAGCAGCGGCGATGATAAAGGTGGCGATGGCGAGGCACTGGGGCAGAGCAACGTGGAGGAACCGCTCACCTGTCTTGTCGGCGTGGTGGGCGACGATGAAACAGGTTATCACGGCGAGGACGTACGGCGGACTGGTGAGGAGCAGTGTGATGACGTTGTTGTATCCGAGGGTGCTGACGACGGTGGGGAAGAAGTTGGTCACGGATGCAGCCGAGACGATGCCCCATAGGAGGAGGAGCTTGGTGCGTGTCAGCTCAGCATCGATAGCGATGCTCGAAAAGAGAGGACAGCGTAGAGAAGGGGATCAGAGTGGAGGTAGGAAGAACGGGTTCCAGGCATGAACTCACGAGAATCCACGTCTTGATGTCCATGAGAGCCAAGCGGAAGCCATGCCAGAGCGTCTGCTCCTCGCTGTTGGTCCAGTCGGCAGATCCGATGTCCTCTTCTAGGCGCCAGCTGGCCAGGGCCGACTCCTCCTCTGACAGCCAGGTGGTCGTCTTGGGGAAGTTGGGCATGATGAGGTACGCCGCCAATGCGACGGCGACGGTGACGGCGCCCTCGATGATGAAGAGCCAGCGCCAGGCGCGCAGGCCGAGAGACCGGTCCATGTTGCCCGTTATCCCGGCCGATATGAGGCCCGAGAAGGCGCCTGATATGAGGGACCCGGCGTAGAGGTAGGTGGTGCGGACGCCGAGTTCCTCGCGCGTGTACCAGCATGATAGGTAGTATAGGCATCCAGCCTGTATTCTGGTCAGATGTCTTTCGGTACTCTCTTACAGGTGGTAGGGGAGGGTTGTTGTTGTTGTTGTTGTTCTTGTTGTTACATGAGAGACATACAAAATAAGTAGCTTCGACAAATCCCAAGAAGAAACGGCATGCGTATAGACCGCCGACGGAGTGACAACCTGCTGTCGCGGCGGAAATTGCGCCCCAGATGACCATCTGTAGACCAGTCAGCTTTGTTACGGCATACGACTGAACAGATGCCGTGATGGTATATACCGATGTAGGGAGGTATACACCTGGTTTTCCAATCTTGTTAAGAAGCAGGTTGGACGGAACCTGCATGATGATGTATCTACGGGCTCACCGTCAATACTCGTGGTTCTCCGGCACAGAAGAAGGGGAGGGAGAGAGGTGACTGACCCGACAAAGAGGATTCCCACCGCCGTCTGCAGTATCTCCATGTCAACACTCCAGTTGCCGCAGATCCTCTTCTTCCGGGGCTCTCTTCTCTCCGGACAGACGACATACCGAGAACTGCGTCCCAGACGCGTCCATGTCCAGATCATCCTCGAGACCGGCGAACCTGGCAGCAGCGATGTTGTTTCTTTCGTTTTTTTTTTTTTCAAACTGTCAGTGGTGTGTCCAATCTGCTGGCTTCCCTCCACCACGTAGCTTACCGATCAATATAATTGAGGATATACATGAGAATAATCATGGGCAGGATACGCAGGTCAATCTTGAGACGCAGCTTCTTCTCCAGCACCTTCCGCTGCTCGGGGCTCATCGCTATGATGATGGCAGGAGGCTGCATGCCGCGCTGCTTAGCAGCCATGGCGGCATTATTCGCTTCGTCATGATGAGATGCCGTCTTGGCCATTTCAATGTCGTGGGTCAAACGGCTCATGGCCATCATGTCATCTTCATCGGTGACGGTGGCAGACATACTTTTTCGGGGGGTTTTTATTTATTCGTTTTTGTTTGTCTGTCGATCGGACGCGATATCCCCCAAAACAAAATGCCTAGAAGATGAAGATGAGGAATGGGAGGGGGGAGGGGGGAGGGGAGAGTGCCTTCCCCCCTTCCTTCTCTTCCAGGGAGACTACCGTGTTCATGTATCATGCCGTCCCTTCCTCCAGTTCGCCCTTCCCTCCCCAAGCATCCTCAGACGGGAGTCGATTTCCCCGCATGTTACAAGGTTGTCGGCCAACATTGCGGGGGAGCCAAATCGACATTGGTCCATTCAATGAGGAAAAGCACAAGGCCCAATCCAGAAGGGCAAGATGGTTATGAAGGACTGAGGGCTGAGGAGAGGGGGGAGGGGCGGTTAACCTTCTCTACATCCCCCGCTTCCCCGGGTCAATTGTGGCGATGGAGGGCCAGGATTCGTGCATCGAGACCATTGGTTCGCAGACGAGACGGCACATGTGCGATGCTGGATAGTCAGTGCAGTAGCATGATAGAGCCTTATGATACGTAGGAAAGAGATCACATCGAATAGCATAGACCGAGGTTTGGGAAAGGGAAGGAAGAATATCCGAGCCTGGGTGATTGATATCCGGTCGTCTTGTACGTTGACTTCTCCGGGCCTGCCACTGGGATCAGCACGAGAGGGCCGGTGTGATCTCTACCTCCAAAACCTGGAAGATGAAGGTTTGAACATCTACGGTCAGTGAAGAGAAGAGGAAGGATAAGGAGCGATAATATGCATGGTCTCTACCCCGATGACATCTCTCTCTCTCTCTCTCTCCCCACTCAGGAGACCAAGCTCTTTCCCATGCTGTTCTGGAGGTGGATGTCGGTATATCACGTGATATTGAAAAGTAACAGACAAGAGAGCTCTTGAAAGCTGCCGCGACAAAATCTCCTCTCTCGACGGCTCCGACGACTTCCTCGCACGCCCCAGACGACGAGACACGAAAAAAAAGAAGAAGAAGAAGAGAGATGCCATCGTCGGCAGCAGACAAGACGGCCGCCGTCCAGGCGGCTACAGAAAGCAAGGCCTCCCCGGCGACGCAGGCCCTACAGCCGATCAGCACGGTCGACAGTCCCGCGTCGCGCGCGGTAGGATGGCTCCGACCGGCGATCCTGGTGGGCGGCTGCCTGGCGCGGCTGCCCGCCCTGGTGGAGGACCCTACGTCCGCGCTGCAGACGGCCCTGCCGGCTGTGGCGGCCGTGCAGGTCGTCTACGCGGTCGTGTGTCTCCCCGTGGTGGGATCGCAGCCCAGCCCGGCGAAGCAGCAGACGCGCGGCGGGAAGAAGCAGCAGCAGCATCAGCAGCAGCACCAGCAGCACCAGCACGACGGGCCGGGACCGAACAGATTCTCGGTGGGTTTCCAGCATTTCCGGCGTCGTCTTATACGTATAGGAGTGCGGGAGATAATATATACGTATATGCATATATATATGTATATCTACATGTATAAGAGATGAGAGAAGAGAGATGATCTGACCGAGCAGCACACACGCACAGGTCTCCGTCCTGTCCCTGCTGTTAACCATCATGGCGACGCCGGCCATCTACGCGGTCCTCGTCCTGTTCGGCGCACCGCTCCTCGACAAGATGGGAAGCTCCCTCCTGTGCGCGGCGCACATGGCGACCCTGGGCATCTTCCCCGTCTTCTACACGCGCGGCCTGGACGGGCAGGCCCTCCTGGCCGTGGCGGGGGCATACGCGCCCCTCGACGACGTCTTCGGCGGGCTGCTGGGCGCGGCGCTCGGCTCCTGGCTGGGCGCGGTGCCCATCCCGCTGGACTGGGACCGGCCGTGGCAGACCTGGCCGGTCACCATCGTGGTGGGCATGTATATCGGCAATGCCGTCCTCGGCAGCCTTCTCGGCGGGCCGCTTCACGGGAAGCGCCTGGTCGGGAGCGGCGACGGCGTCGATGAGGAGGAGCAGTAGAGAGAGTCTTGAGTTTCGAGGCGAGAGGAAGTGGAGGTGGGGGACCCAGAGGAGAGCTGGACGGAACCGGTTGAGAGGGGGGGGATGTGGGATAGAGTACGGAGCCTTGACCCATTGTATGATTATCGATGGCATCGAGACATGAGCATCTTGTGTATTGATGAGAAGTAGTTAACTTGCCATGATGCTGACAATCAGTGCTTGCTGTCCTCACCAGTACCCGGCCGGAAAGTACCGTCGCTCTGCCAACGTGCGGCGACGAAGCCCATCTACTACCCGTCAAGAGGGAGGGAAGCATGTCCCACCGCGGGGGAAGCTGGCATCATATCAAATCCAATGCTAGATAATGCCATCGGTGATTCCCATGATGGACAAGACTCTCTCTGCACGGATGGCGATGTATATCGGCTCCCCGAAAGAAGAGGGAGAAGAAGAGGAAGAGTCCATGACTGCATCGACCAGCGGTGTCACGCTGCCAAGCACCGGTCTAATGCATGGTCGAGGTTCCAGGGGAGGGAAGGAGGATGCGGTTGCTTACGCGTCGTTCCCTCACCCTCCTGCGTCCTGTACGATGGAGGAAGGGAGAGAGTGTGACGCTGCCGAGGGTGACGAGCTATTCGATCTTCCCTCGATAGTGATAGGAGAGGAGCAAAAGTCTGAAGGAGGAGAGACGGGGTCAAGCACATCATCAAGGCAGAACGATGATTCATATCATCCAGTTCTACTGTCGATATGTGGGACGACAAGTCTCTCCTCCTCTTCCCCACAGGTGGAGATGGCGTACGCGTACTCGTATTACCCTCCCCCCCCCCCTCCGATGCTTGGATCTGGCTTGGGGTGACTGAACAGACTGCAGTGCACTGCTCACTGTACGAGTATTATTATTACATGTAGAGAGAGAGACACACACACACACCACACACACACACAGCAAAAGTACCATGTACCGGATTTTTTTTCTTGCTGAAACAATGACATGGCGGTGGAATTTCTCTCCTCACTGCCTCTTCCGTTCTTCCACCTCTTGCCAATCTCAAGACATGAGTGATGTCATGCTGTACTGTTTTGCAGAGAAGAAGATGAGGACCCGATAAGAGGTTGCAGGTGTGGCGGTGCTGTGGTAAGACAGGTGGCAGATGAGGATGGGGGCAGAAACATGCAGAAACTTTCGTACAAGTCTGTGGCTGTGCCGGTCCATGCTGTCATGTGGCTGGGACGGTGCATGTGACGAGACGGCGTGGCGATGCGGCGACAGCAGTAAAAAAAAAATAATAATAATAATAATAAAAAGGTGCTTGACATGACGTAGACGGAGAGCTACAATCTACAGTTTGGGTCTCTCTTTTTTTTTTTTTTTTTTTTGGTGCCTACCCGTCTTCGTCTTCCCAGATGCATCGTGTTGTTGAGAGTGTGCGAGCAAGTTACCGGAGGGGGCTGGGGAGGAGATCAACAGCGTAACCGTGCGACAGGGCTGAGGGCTGAGAGGGAACGATGCCCGAGGCCACACACACGCACACACACGATGGGGGCTGGGGGAGGGGGTATAGCTGGGAATCATCGTGGTTTCTGGGGGTGGTACGGCGTACATACGACACCCAGAAGAGAGCTACATGTTCGCACCGCCTGCGACAAAATGGCGCATACGGACGAGTATCGTCTCCAAAGAAAAAAAACCCCTAAAAAAAAAGAAAAAGAAAGAAAGAGAGAAGGAAAAGGTACGAGTATACGGCCTTCCCGCCCAGAACAGCAGAGCTACGCTGTACGGGTATTCACCCCGACGATAGGCTACGGCGAAGAGCTAAACACTGTCGAGTACGCGCATACACCGTCAGCTTCTCGCGGCTTCGCCCCGTGCAATGATGATAACGATACTACTGCTACTGATAATGATGGGTTTTTTTTCTTTCTCTCCCCCATATATATATATATATATATATCATGATACATCATGATGGACTTCTGTAGACGGACATACCCGGCGTATGACGCATCTCTTCTCTTCCCCGGCAGACCTCCCCTCAGCGGATCCCATACACCCCTGCAGTGACCGTCTAGCACGACGTAATCGTTCTCCCTCTCTCCCTCTCTCCCTCTCTCCCTCTCCCTCTCTGTCTGCTTAGGGTTCTATCACTGTAGGTTCTATTGCTGTAGATGGGTACCGAGAGAGGCTATACAGCCGTACTTACTGTACAGAGTACCCGTACTAGCTTGTCGGATTGCTGGTGTGATCCCTTCTACATCCATGCACGTACTGTACTCGTACTAAAAA